TATATATATATATATTCTTATCAAGTCTAAAAGCATTTGGTCTATGTGGAGAATTGGCTTATCATATTTTGAATTTTATCCTGGATCATCATTCTTAATAATGATGAATAGATTGGTGGTGACCTTAAAATAGTATTGATAATGATTTGTATTGGATAGCTGAATTTATTTCAATTGTTTCTCAATATTGATTTGAACTATATGGCGAAACTGACTTTCAAAGGTTTTGGGATTTATGTGGAAGAGCTATGTTGAATTGAGATTGCTTGGATAAGTAACATTAGGTATTGGCTCAATCAGACAATGTATCAATTTGCTCAAAGCAATAGTAGATGTCATTCTTTCTTTTGTCAACACTTTGATTGAATTGTTTGGTACATTCAATGATTCATTCATCACTAATTAGAAGATAATCGGGGAAACTTTTTGGCTTTCTAAGATGCTTCTGAATGAGGGAGGGTTGCTTAAAGATTAATTTTGATAATTTTCATATGAGATCTCAACTATATTTTAGATGTTAAACTTACAACTTATGTCATTTTTGTTAGGGCTTCAACCTAGAAATCTCTATTTTGGCATTGATAGGAGGGACATTCCAAATATATATGAGCCAATGTTTAAATCATGCACTTTAAAGTATCATAAGTTATCATTAAATATAAAAGAGAGATCTAAGCAGAAATCAAGGTCATAACATGGAAAGATTAAACTTTATGTTGGGATTAACCTATCCTATTGATTGAGGAAGCTTCAATAATCAAACAACGAATAATTGAAGACATAAGAATCCAAAATACGAATAACTATGAATGAAGTGGCTAAAGCATATGAATGGTGAAGATCAAAACTAATACTTTAAAATTTGTTTCCTTTGAAATTTGTAACCCTTTGATAGAAAAAAATTAAATGCCTAACCCATCAAAGGTATTTAAGCAAGTTTTATAATATCGGGTCACCTAAAAGCTCTATTATTATAAGCAGCCTCATGATTCAAAGAATTTATGCTTCTATGATAAATAATTGATTTTAGAGGTATGTTCACTGCTAAATTGTTCTTTGTGAAAACACACATCGAGAGTTAGAGCCAGGTAGTTCGGGATGTCCCCCAGAGAAATGAGGAGAGGTCGCTTTATTCGTCTTGTCGCCTCCTCTTTATAGAGGGATGCTTGTGCAATTACAGAAAGGAGGGAACAATTACGGAAACTGCTCTTAATATGATTAATTATACTAATCTTATGTCAAATATGTATTATAATTTGAATTTGAATATGACGGTAACCAGCAGGTCCATATGCTTCAATTCGATCAACCGAGATGACTGGTCGAGTGGCGATCTTGACTGACGAAGTAAAATGCCGGTCGGAGGATAAGGCATCCTTGTGAAGAGTTTATTCGGTTTAGGAATGTATGTGCGGCCCGACGATTGAATCCTTTCACCGTAATGTGTCATACGGCTTCGACAGAGCTATCGACCATTGGATGGTCAACTTAGATCATGTTTTTGTAGTCTGGTGATTCGATTGTTTAACCATCATTTTGAGCCGTTCGATTGTTTTGAGATTTGTGTCGAAGATTTTGATGCATATGTATTAGTTCCCCAAATTTTCTTGCTCCTTAAAAGTGACTGCTATGATAACGATAAGGAAACTTTAATAGTGGCGCTGAAGTCAAGAAAAATTAATTTGATGATTAACTTCTTGTTGGATTTTGTGTCCAACGTGCTCTATAAATAGAGCCATATGCTTGCTATGGCATGTTGCCGTCATTTTCTTCTAGACAACTGAGTTGCGTCATGACATACAGTTGAGCTGGATCATCGTGGACCCCAAGATTCTAGCCAAAGAGGGTTATCAAGTCTCAGACACTGCAAAGGAAAAAAAAAAGATTAAGAGGGAGAGGTGGTCAGGGTTTGAATCTACACCGTCAGAATGGGTTGATTCGTCTAGGGATCCTGAGGGGCGGATGCCGAAAGCCCCCCCGTAAGGAGGCCACAGTCCCCCCGTAAGGAGGCCACAGTCCCTGAGCCTAGCATGGATGCAAGCACTGGGACAGGGCCAGCAAGTTCTATTTGCTAAAGGTGTTGAGGCAAGTGGACGCAGGACAATGAGGTGATCCTTGTCCTTCCACAACCGCTACTACACGAAGGTAGGGGCATTTCAACACAAGAGGGAAAGAAGCCCTTCAGGACCCTTTCTTCTAAGGACAAATTTATGGGTAAGACCTTTGATTTGTTGATGGTTTAGGAAAAAAAAAAGATTTTTTTTTTATGATTTCAATGCAGACAAATCAGTCGGGTCAACAGATCGCCTGAACAGAGAGCCGTCGAAGGATTTTGCGAAGTCTACCTCGGCTGCGGTGGCCGGCGTGCAGGCTGAATTTGTGGGGTTGATGCCGGTCATTACCTCGGAGGGGTGCTAGTCACCCAACCCTTTGCCTGTTACCAATTTTGAACCGGAGCCGACAGAGGTGCGACAACATTCCCCTGGAGTAATAGAGCAGCTAGAATAATGAAGCGGGCCCTTGGCAGTGTTGGTTGGCTCTTCGAGGGGAATGACTGGAGGTTGGGCCGCAGACCCAAAGCGGGAGTTGCCCGTGCCCCAGCTTCCAAAGAGTCAGAGGTGGCAGCCTTTATTAGTATCAATTTTTTATGCGACAAATATGGGACATCCTCAAATGAAGATCATAAAAATCCATATCTGAACAAGTGCTAATCCTAGAGTTGACTCAAATGGACTAAATTAGTGCAAAATATTACTCCAAACAAATAAATAAATAAATATTAAATGATCTAAAAATTGATGTAAAAATCTCATTAGTAGATCTATAGCATCATAACAAATTCATAAATTATAGAATCAAATAATTTAGGGCAAAACATTAGGTGTGGAGACCGCATATCTGAACAATGGCCCGGATGGACTGCACTAGCAGCATGGCCTCATCCAGGCCGTTTTTTGGGCATGCGATCATCTGCACCTAATATTTTTTCTTGAAATTGGCATGCATGCCTAGATTGGGTCAAACTATTATAAATTAGACCCATTGCAGAATAGTGGAGGCAACAATGGCCTTTCTCTGTTGTCACTTTGCCCGTCATTCAAATAATTTAGAAGTTAAATGTATAAATACATAAAGAAACCACTCTAAATCCCTAGGAATGTAATTAGGCTTTCAGATGCAAAGGAAATAAAAGACAAGAAAAAGGTGAAACATATATACATTATTTAAATGGAATGTATCTATGACATCTACCTACTAAAAGAATAGAATTTATAGTACAGAAACTGCAAAAAAATAATAACAATAAATAAAAAAATCCATTTGTGAATATATACAAATAGAAAATCAACACAATTTCCACATTTTTGTTCAGCTACTTCTGAAATGTTATATTGATGTATTTGTTTTTTTCTGGCCGCATATTGACAATCAGAAACTTATTTCAAAAACATAGAGCTCCACCGTGATCAACCCAATGCACAAATCTCTCAGAGAATTCACTAACATCAGAATTCTGCACATCACCCTGTAAAAATGCATCATAACAACATTAATCAAATCAACACTAATGAGTCAGCAGGAGTACAACGATGAAAATAGACTAACAATTACTGGCTTAATAATCCAGATTACAGTTGGTTAATGTTAAATTTTGATAAATATTAGAGTAAATTACCCAATCACAGTAATTTGGGAGAGGAGTGGTAAATATACCAAAATTTACACTGACTGAATCAAACAAAATATACCAAAAATTACAAAAATGTTTAATGCATGCCCACACAATATTTCTAATTTAGAGAGGAAAAAATGTGGCTTCAGGAGACAAACCAGATCACTGGATCCTTCCCAGTTACAGTTAGATGTTGTTTCAACAATTGTATCAGTAATGACATTTTCACTTGATGACCTGCATGTGCTGAACAAGAAGTCGAAGCTCACTGAGTACATCCCATTCACAATTACTCGTACAAATTTAATGAAAAGCAAAAAATTTATTATTGGTTTATCACTATGATTCACATGCCTCCTACTAACAAGAAATAAAAACTAAATTTCCCAACAGATAAAAAAAACAAAAAATATTTTTTACACAAAAGGTTCTCAACCAAACAATTATAGTGAGAACTACTTTTAATTCAATTCCTTCAAAACAAACAGATCACACATGTATATTTTACTGAAATAATTATAAGCAGCAGAACAGCAGGTTGTCACCTTTCATAGAATTCCTCTGCCCATGAATTTCCTGAAGATGAAATGCGGTCAAGATCAAGGAAATTTGAAGAGCTCGACTCATCGAATCTAAGTTGATGAAAACAACCATGTTCGCTGTCGGCAAATTGTGGCCTGAAAAATATTTCAGGAATGCACACGACCAAAAAGAGTTAAAAACAAAAAAACTAGAGCAATCATAAAATCATACATTACACACACACACACTCATATATAAAAATGTTTCAAAATAGTCCCTGACTCTTTATAGTGCGGTCATTTTGGTCCTAGAGACCTTACAAGTGTCAATTTAATCCTCTTACTCTTTTAATATGGGTTAAAATAGTTCTCAGGAGCGATATTTCAACCCCAATTCAAAAAGTCGGTGGATTAATTTGCCACTTTTATAAACTTTAGAACTACAATAACCTCATTAAACAGTCAGGGGACTATTTTGGGACTTTACGCATATATGTATGTTATAATTGCTAATATAATTCTTTTGCTTTTACATCTAATATTAAAAAATGCTTAAATTTTGAAGTGCATTCTAAAAATATATTTAAATTTATTTGGTGGACTTGAACCAGCTTCAAAAATGCATAAAATCAAGGCACTGACCTGGAATATGATGTATCCCTTGCACAAGTAGGAATCTCTGGCGTGAACCCAAAAAGACTCTCCTTGGCATTTACTGGGGAATGAACCTTTTGAGAATTTCCCTTTCCTGAAATTGGGCTGGAATCATCTGTGCTCTCACATAAATTACCCTCCGACCGGGATCTTTTGAACGACCTATGTAAAACCAAGTAAATTATTTGTTAATGCAAAAAAAAAAAAAAAAAAAAAGATTTTAACATGAAGAGGCTATTTATTTTCTTTGAAAGCTACCACATGATTTGAAGAAATCATTTGGAATCAACATAAAGAAATGCTAATCTGCTGCTACGAAAACCTCCTCCTTATACAAGCGCCAGACTTAGGCGGTGCTTGGCTGCAATCAGGTTTTACGTTAAATAGGATTTATCAAATCCAGTAAATTCAGATTTATCAAATCCTATGTGACGGAGATGGAGCTCGCGAGTAACAATGGAATACATCTCTTAAATCCACCCATAATCAGAATTAGTAAATCCAGATTTACATCATAAAAGAAACAAAACGTGAGGAACAAAGATAGAACGCAATAAATTTTAATTTAACAGAGTGTTGGATTTATTTATTTTTTCGATGTTGGATGGATTTATCTTAAATTCCTGCCTAAATCCTATCAAAACTATGCTACCAAGCACGCCCTTAGAATTTTTCTTAACTTATTGATCTCATCCTTCCATCTATTTTTTCTAAATATTTGTTAGACAAAAGGATTCATGTAGCTGACCCCACTTAGTGGGATCAAGGCTTGTTGTTGTTGGATTTGTTATTGGCTTGCTTGAGTTGTTGATCTTATTCAAATTTAATACAAATGTGATTTTCATTATGTAAAAACATTCAATTGCTCGCTGATTTTGTATGGTTTGACTTTATTTCTGATTTCTTTGGATCTATCTGATCATTGCATTATTATTTTGGTTTAAATTTTCATATCTTCTAATTTGAATTGAAGGAAAGAAGGTTTTTGGGTAATTAGTAGTTTATACTCTATGATTCCCATTTTTCTTGTGTTACCTATTTTAACTTTATCCTCCTAACTGCAGCAGAAGCCCTAGATCATTAAGCATCCAACATCGAATTGAAATCAAAGCTTGTAATTGCATCTTCATGTCAACTAAAAATAGGATATATTAAAAAAATATTAATAAATAAATCAATTTTAATATATATTCTAGAAAAATATAACATAGCTCATGTGAGCTTCAAAATTAAATTCCTACTTTTGATAGGGGCGATCTTAAGATTTGAAAGACTTCTTTAAAAATAAAATTAGTAGAGCGTGCTCAACTAATTTATTTAAATGTTGCAAGTAAAACAAATTCAACATGAGTTAGCATAAAACATAAAATTAAGAAGTAATATATATTATTTGATGAATATAAGAACCAATTGCATAACCAATTCATGAGTAGTAAGCACAATAATGCTAGCATTTTTTTTATGCATTTTTAACAAATATTGTTGAGACATATAATTTGCCTTTGCAAATAGACTGGGCCACAATTCACTGAAAATACTATCTGTGGCTTTATCTAGACCATTGAATATTGAGGTATGTTTTGAGAATTATATTAAGACTCATTCACTTCACTCATATTTCTAAAGATAATTAATGTTATCCCTTTTGATGCTTGTGATAACTCCAGGAAAAATCTTGTCCTTGTACCTGCATAAAATATTGAATTTTCTCAATTCAATGATGTTGCGTTATTAGACTTGCTAGAGTTCTTGATTTTATCAAAGTTGACACATTGAGATTTCAAATGTGATGCTAAATTTTAATTGCTTGCTAATTTTATGGTTTGAATTTCTCATTGATTTATTTTGGATTCTGATACGTCTCGGAACCAAAATCAACGAACAAGCCATAACGGAACGATAATAGATATGTGGGAAAACGCAAACAAGGCCTCTTACAACAATCAAAGGAAACAGGCAAGATACAAGGTTGATATATTTTTTGAGAGGTAAATCGCTTCTCTCACACCCTAGATGTCGCTAAGAACACCACACAAATAAAGAAAACAACCAACAAAAACATGTATAAAAGAAAATAAACCCTAGATTCCCCCCTCAAGAGAATCCTCATACAACATTTCAAAACTCTCCTTCTAAACTTCTTCCCAACCTACGCTCAATTTCTCCTACTTGAGCATGTGATTATGGTCCTAGTGGGCCCCACCTACTCCTTTGCTTCCTCTGAAGCTGCATGGGATCGCTTGGTTGTTTCTTAGTGAAGAGGGTCGGCCCATCTATGGAGGGGGAGGGCCGATTGGGAGGCTTCAGACCGATTGCTTCTGAACTGGTCGTGATCCGGGCGTAACAAATTCACTCAGTGTTCAATTCTCACATATTCTACTTTCACACAGAGAAAGAAAAAAATTGTAAAATAATTGGTCTTTAATTTATGAATCCTAATCCCTTTTGCACGAAATACCTTCATTGTATCATTCTAATTACAATAGGAAACATAGACCACCATTCATCATCAAACTACATTCTCAAACATTACAAGTTTCTTTTTCAAATGAACATTTTGGGACCACTGTCTCAGTGAAATCTCCCAAAAGTAATAGAGAATAATGAAAATTCTAAAATAAGAGAGTATCCATAATAAAAAAAATGCCGAACAGACAGTATTTATTGTTCCTCAAAAGCTTTTCTATAAATTTAAATTTTTCATTTATTATTGATGTTTTTGTAGAACTCACAATTTTCAGTGAAATCTCTTAACAGGTGGAAGCAGACAAAAACTACTAAATTAAAGTAAACAACATCCATAAATAAAGGGAAGTGCAACTTCAGGTACAATACCTGGCTTTTTCATCAACAAAGGAAGGGCCGTGCCTCCTAATACTGTAATGCTGATCAGAATCAAGCTCCCATAGTGCCGCTTTATCCTTTTGTGGCTGGAAGTACCCTAAGAATCTGTATTGTTAAAAAGTCCATGTCCTTAAATAAATATAGTTCACATGAAATAAAAATATGTTAAATATGAAATGGTAAAATATTTTCCAAAAGTACAATATAAACACACACACACACACACATATATATATATATATATATATACTACAGCAGTTGTGTCCGAAAAGGAGGATTGACAAGATATATACAAGTTTAGTTGGATTACATCATGAGTTGGCCTTAAAGCCATATCTTTTTGCTTTAGTTATGGATAAGACAAGAAAAAGAGTTCAAAAATTTTTTGAATTATGGAGGTCAACTTTAGAGTCTAAAAACTTTTGTTTGAGTAAATCTAAAACTGAATACATTGACTGTAATTTTAGGAGTAGATCTAGTGGCGCTATTGTAACAACGGGTGATCTAGTCATTAAATGGAGTGAATGTTTTAGATATCTCTGGTCTATCATTCAAAGTGATCGTGATATAAATGGGGATGCTATTAGTAAAATTCAAGTTGGACGGTTGAAGTAAGAAATGCATCAGGGCCGATTGTGTGATAGAAAAGTACCGCTTAGGCTTAAAAGAAAATTTTATAAGATGATGGTGAGATCTGCAATGCTTTATGGTGCAAAATGTTGGCCTACAAAAAGAGAAGCATAAAATTAATTGTTCTTGAGATGAGAATGCTTAGGAGATCGAGATCAAGGAGAATTTCGACATGCAGTTCTTCTAGTGATATTGAGAAGAAGGCTTTGGAAGGAAAATCCTGTAAGTTTCATTGATTATAAAGAGGAGATATGAGTGAGTATTTTAATATAACTTGGATTCTTCAAAGTAAGTTTCTTGATGGTGTGGCTCCGTAATTTTTCCCATTCTCGGGTTTTTTCACGTTAAATCTTGATGTAATTTTTCTAAATTTATTTTGTTGAGCTTTTGTTTGATTTTTTTGTTTCATGTTTTTCAAATTTGTGTGATCCTATTCTACGATGTGGTTTTGATTTCAATTTTGTGCAACCCTTTTCATTTATAGGTAAGGTGCCATATAAGTAAAATTTGAAGTTTAGTAGTTGAATATGTAAATACATAGAAATTGACTGGTATGCATGTAAATCTTCCTAAAAAAAGGGAATGACATGAAATTAATTAAAAAAACCACACATTTTAAAAAACTATCAAGTGCCTTCACATACATGTTGCTGCTAAAAGAAGGAAACATAAATTAAAAAAGAGAACAATATGAAATTAATAAAAAATCCCACACATTTAATAAATTATCAAGGGTCCTCCACTTACATGTTGCTAATAAAAGTAAATAATATATATTAATTATAATTAAAGAAAACAAAGCTCCAATCACATTAACATTCAAGCTTGTAGCTTCAACTCTTTCAGGAGAGCTTCGGTTGGATGCCATAAAAAAGAAACAAAAGCATCAGAGTGCTGCTTCAAAAAATAAAAAATATGTCCCAACCATTAAAAAATATCAGCTGAAGCTGAAACCAACTTACACGTTTATGGCATCTTGTTTGAGTGGATCGGTATACGTGTTGCTGTAGTATCGTTGAACAGTCCTAAAAAATTCCTGAGACTGTGTAGCTGCCTTCCATTGACCTCTTTTATCACAAAAAATCTGCAATTACAGTCAATTTTACAAAAAAAAATAATTAAGAAATATCTTCAGTGAAGCAAACAATGCAAAACACCATTTACAAACAGATTTTTGCCATCTTATAATGAACAAGTAAATAGTGCAAAAATCCAGAATATTAGATTTAAAAATCTGTTAGCAAAATCCTCTGCAGGTACGTACCTTGTTATGAGCAGCAGAACCACCATATTGTAAAGCAAGTGTGTCACCCATCTTCTCATATGAATCCATCACATCGTCAAACAAATGAGAGTCCATGCCAACAACAGGAACATCTATAAATCTCATGAGATGCAGCTGCTGACAAAGGGCAGCAAAACCATATGCAAACTGAGCAACATTCGTTCGGTCCAAACAATCGATGCAATTTGTACGAAGAACGCCCTTTTGAAGCATAGTTTGTCTTTCAAAAGAGCAAGCTAGATCCACAATGCTGTCAGTTGTCTCTTTCCTAGAGAAAGTAGTTTTCCCCTTGTTATCTTTATTGATCAGTAGATTGCTGTCATGTTCACTCCTGCAGTGGGTGATTAATTAGAACATTAATCAACACATTACTTAGGGCTTGTTTGGGATCAATTTTATTTTCAGTTTTTATTTTTGTTTTTTCCTTTTTAAGAACATGTTTGCTTAATGTATTTTTAATATATTATTATTTTTTATTTCTACAAGCAAAAAAATATGTTTTTGGAAACACTCAAAACTACTTTTAGATGTTTTGAGTGTTTTAAAAAACAACCACATCTTAATCAAACATATTTGTTTCAAATCAAAACATGAGCAAATCAAAATAAAAACAAAAAATTGGAAAATAAAAAACACAAGTGTGATTTTTTTATTTTTTAATTTTATTTTGGTTTGTTTATGTTTTGATTTAAAATAAAACATGTTTGGCATGATATAACATGTTCAGTTGTTTTTAAACACACTCAAAACACCTAAAACCTCAAGCAAAATTTGTTTTTAAAAATAAAAATAAAACAAAAAAAAAATTGCACTAAACTTGTTTTTAAAATAAAAACAATAACAAAAACAAAAAATAAAAAAATAAAAATAAAAATAAAAGTGATCCCAAGCAAATTCTTAAAATATAAGTAACAACATTTACAAGACTAACATGAGGAAAGAAGAGCTCATGGAATCAGACAGTTTTAAAGAAGAGGGAAGTTGGCAATGGAAAAAGCCTGTCAAACTTAATGCATCAGATCCAAGTTTCACCAATAACTCAAGAATGTTCGTAGCTCTGCAACAAGTGGAAGTTTATTTATTTTAAATGCAAAGTTAGAAAAATGAGCAACATTTGAAAAAAGTTTCAAAATTTAAGCACCTCTGAGAATGTTCGCTAAGATCCCAATGCAAAAACCTCAAATGTTTTTCTACAGGGAGGTCTTTATTAATAAAATCAATAGCTTTTGCAAATTCTGAGCGGAGAATAAATTCCCGAGGCCGCTTTTCGTATGTCTGTATGGAAATAATTATACAATTTTAATTAATTTCCATCAATAGAACAACCCAAAATACATCTGTATGACATTGATCATTGAAAAATTACAGTGCAATCATGAGTTATAGAAATTCACCTTGATTAGGTTGAAAATAATAATAGGATTTCCATATCTCTTGACAAGATTATCAAAATGAAGTCGTGTTGCTTCATATTTTTGATCTTTCTGCACTGAAAATAGGTTGAATGTGTCACAGAACAACAAAGGAAATTATTAGTTCGGTTAATGGATAGTAATCAATTATAAATCTTAGAACTTACATATGATATCTGGCTTCATGTTTAGCCATGAACTATCTTGTGACCAAAAAAGTGGAATGGATCCTCTAATCTGCACAACAGAACTTATCTGTGTTGGCTCATCTCTGGCATTTACACCAAATAAAATCTGCTCAGTTTCAACTTCATTTGCAACTCTGCCTTTTGCATTGACGCCACGCTTTAAGTACCTAATTAAAAAATGAGCACTTAACTTCAGATATTGAAAATCATATCTTAATTGTGCTAAGAATACATATAGGTCACTGTGTTTATCAGTATATAAGAGATTTGAACTTTGTTAAAGTAGAACCTTGTTCCAGCATAATGACGAGAGCGCCTGGCAATCAACGTGAACATAAAATCTTTTCCGGGCAGCGATAGTTTAACCTGCATGCAATATTTAGCAAGAATGAATACACATCTCTCGTTAAAAATCTGTAAATGAGCTACAAAAATTAGAGAGAGCTTAAGAAATTAAATAATTCAAGAGCCTTGCTGACAATTGACGCCAATCATCACCACCTTCATCCAATCATTGTCATCCAACTGTTGACACTCAACCATCATCGCCTAACTTTCGTCATCCGACTATTGTTTCCTAACCATCATCTGCCAATTGTTGTATCTTGGCATAGTCTTCCGACTACCATCATCACCGTCCACTATTTCTTCCACAATCATCATCATATGATCAAGCAAGTGCTCTCAACTTTGTAATCCCATCTTCTTCAGTTATGGGAAAGAGCAAACTTTGGTAACTTTACATAATAGATTATTTCAGCTAGGTTAGGCTCCACGGTCTTTTTCCTCTCCAAATTTTCCATGTGAAAAACTATAGTGTTTCCTATAAAACTCTTTGTCTATTTATGTGCATGTTGAATCTTAGTACAAAGCTAAGACATTAAATCTCTCACTTTACTAGCATAAATTTTATGACATGCAACAAAATTTGATGAGCACATAGGTTAATTCAAAAAAAAATCGATTAATCTAATAAATATGACAGAATGACATCATTACATAAAATCCAAATCTTCATAACTAGCTATAACAAATTTTTTGGCTGCTCATTATGTGAGTTTGTTCAAGTTGAACAAGAAAGAGTCAAACAAGGTCAAAGAAAAACATTGAAGCAAAACATCACATGATAGAAATATACATACTTGGTTCTTACGATTACATTCACAGAATAAAGACAATCATTAATTTGTTATTTCGATGGTACATAAAACAAATAAATATATAACATGAAGCCTGCAATCAGATGTCATTGTCAAATGCACATTTGCAACGATAACAATTAATAAATTGAGTGTTTTTCAATTTATAACAAAACAATACTCATAGAAAACCCACACCTGTTTAAAAAATCCATACACCAGTGCAACCGACCATATTGTACTTTTTAGTTGACTGCGAATTCCGCGTGTAAGGAATTCATTCCATACAAACATTGTTTCATAAAGAATGCCCCCAGACTCCATATCACATAAGTTCCTCTGCAGACTGCGCATTATGTTGTATGAATAGCTGAAGAAGAAGTCCTTTGTAAGATCCACCATGCAAAGAAGCTTCTTGTACCTACGCATTCAATGAAAGTTGAGATGAATGCTTGTAGTAAAATCTAAAGTTAAGGGTTAGTCAGAAAATTTAAATATGTTTAATGATAAATTTATAAAATTAGCTGAATATTTTACCAACATATGCCAACAAGCTTAGGGAAATGCAGCCAATCTAACATAAGGCACAATGATTTTATTATATAGTTAACTGGAATTGCAATTCAATATAAATTTTACTAATTAAAAGGAATATAAACACACAAACACTTATGTTTTCTATGGAAAAGAACAACATTTTTGTACAAGATTGTAGTGGTTAAAGATAGACTATGACAAGATGTTAATAAAAGACAGAATACAAAATTAAAACATTGGGTGCTTTACCTACATACCACACAATTCTTATGTAATTACATTTTTAAAATCTATATTTACATATATAACACTATAGTATCATAATCACATTAAAACAGATGCATGAAAAGGCATGCTTCACCTTAACATGTAAATATTAGCAGCATTTTTATGTGACCTTAAGGATTAAGATATCACATAAATACTAAAATTTATATTGAAATACATAACTACATAAGAATTATTATAAGATGTATATGCAAACGAATAAAAAGAGATGTTTGGGAAAAAATGATAATTCAAGTGAGCTCTCACTGTTGAGAAATAGTAAACTCGCGAAATTTCTCAAAATCAAACTACTTGATTAAGAGAATAACAATGTGCTCAGAACATCAAATACATTTTCGGTATCGTCCAAAATAAATAACATTTTTTTTTTCAAAAACCACCATCATTAAACAACCAATATATATCTACAGAAAATTAACAAAGTACCTCTCCTCATGCTTAGAAAATGGCACACGGTGCCGCACAGTAGAATTTGGAATTGCAATCATTTCACTCTTAGAGATGGCATAAACCGTGTGGCCACATATGGAGCCAATTTTTTCCCTTTTTGTAATCAGCAACATGTAAGAAGGCCCCAAAAACTTCACAAAACCTGCAGTGGTAACAAGTTATGGATACTACGCCACATAAACAACGACTTATAGAAATAATGAGTATAATGAATTGAGAAAAACTTGAAGGAAACTTACCAATGATTCCATAACAGTGCGTGACAAACCTAAGCCCACCACTCGATCTGTTCCCATCATCTATTCTCTTCAATAAGTCTTCACACTCATTTCTCATGTAGATTGTAGGATCCTCTCGCATGCTGAGCTCTGAAGGTTCTTCTCTGTCGAGTGACAACACTCTCCAGACTGTTCCACTCTTGTCCCATCCAATCATATAAAATTTCTGTTACACATTATAATCCAAGGAATTGAGAGAGAACTGATTGAAAAGCAAGAGAAAAAAATGACCAACTTCATAATGATGGAAGCTATGACTAACCACAGCTTTAATTAACGATAGTGTCAACAACTGCTATGAAATAACCATAATGAAAAATAAACCACAAAACTCAGGTCACAAACTCTTAACATCTTCAACCATTAAACGAAGATTTAACGAAGTAAACAATCAAAAGAAAAAACTTTGAAATTTTTTGATTGACGAGACGCTAAGAACATACATAAAAATGAAAAGAAACAGAGAAAGTAACAACCTGCCTCTAATAACAAGAATATACACCGCAAAACAGAGTAGAAAGGGAGCAACCTTCTAAAAATCTCATTTTGCAGCTATACATCCATAAGAAGGAATGGCTGAAGAGTGATTCTCATTCAGTGGCGGGAGATTAATAGAAAATAATTTAAAGAATGACAAATGCTTATATTTGCAATAGAAAGCAATTTAAAAATAGAGCGAATATGAAGCAAAAAAATGAATTACAAAGAAAGTTCAATGAAAACCAATCATAACAATTAGACTGAAGCATCCGCTGAAGGGTCATCAACTAATCACAATCAAACATAAACTAGACACGATAAAAAAGAAATCTTTTAGAACTAATGAGAAATAAAAATAACTCAAAACAAGCGCAAACAAACAAATCAGAATTATTGCACTTAGATTAAATGAAAGGGGCGAGTACATCAAGACAGATATTCTTCAGAAGTCAGAAAAAACAAACAGAAACAGTAGACCACGAAATTGCATAAGAAGATAACTCCACTCACCGATCGAGTCTCATAAAGCTTAAACTTCTGCAGATAGAAGTTCTTAGCGCCGGCCCTAGCTACCCCAGCTGAATCTCTCTCATCCCCTCCCGCCGCCATTAGATCTCAATCCCGAGCCAAACTCCGGCTCGGGTGTGTCAACTCAGTCTTGCATCAAGCCGCCACCAACCAACTCAAACCCTAGATCCATGTTCGGCTGCTTCAGATACAACATTTCCACCGCTTTAAAGCCGGCCGCTCACTCGACAGGGAGATTTGAAGGTGGAGGGAAAAACAGAAAGGGAACTTTCGTCCTCCAATCGAAAGAAGACAAAAAAAAAATGAAAGATCAAAAAGAAGAAATGCTTTTGGATTCGAAGAAGGAATGTGGTGACCGTAAGCGAAGGATGAGCTCGGATATCCGGAATCTCTATCCATCCACGAAATTGCTAGAATGGGAGCAGGGATTAAAAATGCAAATTTGCCTATTCTTTTTCGATATTTTCATCTCAAATCCAAACATGTTTTGCAGCACGTTTACTATTTTCTAAAGCTTCCAAGAAGGTCAACATCTTTCTTAGTACATAATATCTGGAAGTATAAGTGCCAAACTGCGAACTTTGGTAAACAAAATATTTACTGTTACGCTCCGCTGTCAAAGCTGATTAAAAAACGCGGCAAATTTGAACGGTTTGAGTCGACTCGGTTAGAACACGGTCTGGTGGATTTGCCGCCGATTGAACTTAACCACTTGAGCTTCACTAACCCTCGTGTTCCGTCCTGCGCCGACACATAACTAAATTTTTTAATTTTGGGGGTATTTACATAAGTACATACCACCAAATTCTTATGCATTTAAATATCTAATATGTTAATTTTACTTTTTACATTTATGCCGCCCATGAGATGAAAAATATTACTTTCAAGCACGCTTGGCAGCAGCAGCTTATTAAAAAATAGCTATGAAGCTGCTGAAGAATAATTGATGTTCAAAAAACTACGGTGGTTTTTACAGAAATTTCTTTTAAAAAAAATCAGACCGCAACTAGAAAACTAGCGCCTCACCTAATCAAGACTGGTGTAAAAAAAAAACTGTCAAAATGCAATTTACCCGAACAGACAAAATTGTTGTGCGGTATAGCACCGCCTACTAAAACATACCACTCGTATCAATCGCGATTCCTCTTGAAGATAAAACATCTCTTATCTTCAATCCATCATGAACAATCTTTCAAGAATATAAATCAAATTTAATACAAGAACCCTCAAACCAAATCAGCTTACTCCATTCACAATTAGTGCACGGTGAAAAACATAAATTTGAAAGGTTGCTTATGTCAATAATAATTTTTCCATTCCAAGAACAAGTAATAGAGCTATAAGAAATAGGAATATTCACTGTCACTGGTAAGAAAAAATTCGGAACACCAATCGGCTTAAAAGGAATCAGAATTGTAGCGATATCGAATATTCTTGAACTTGCATAAAAAAACTAATAAAATCTAAGGAATAATAAGACATAATCATGTGATTTGTATCTTTTTATCAGTCGGATATGTATCAGTTCTAAAAATTCTAATGCCACGATATGATTTAAATGTGGGGAGACTAAAATTATGTTTCTACCAACATAATTCATTATATTTTGACTAAAAAGCTTAAGAAAATGTAACATTAGAGTTTTATATTTAGGTCTTGTTATGGTATGGCTCATATACCATATCGGGACAGACGCTGGATCGAAACGGAGAGGAGCGGAGCGGAAGAATCTGTCCAAATTGGGAAGTTAAGTGGGTTGGGGTGCGGGGGCAAAGCCCCGCGGTTTGGTACAGGGGTAATGTTGTAATTACATATTGTGTCTAGGTTTACTCCTAGGGTTATAAATAGGTCTGTTAGTAACCCCAGGAGGTATCCATCTATTCTGTAACCCTTTTCTGAATATTGAAAGGAACTCGCCGCTCTGCTCCCGAGGACGTAGGCATCTTTGTCGAACCTCGTTAAATCTCTGTGTTCTTCTGGATTTGTGTCGATTACTGTTTTTCTTCGCCCTAATTTTCTCAACAAGTGGTATCAGAGCAAGTTCGAGTGCAGGGAAGAAAAATTACGGCGACCCAAGAAGAAAGGTTCGTTGCAGTTCCGATTCGCCGGAGATTTGCGGGCGAAAGTTCGTACCGGGCAGCGCTCGGCCGGACGCAACAGAGAGAAGTTGCGCGGACAGTCGTTGTTCGTGGAGGAATCGCAAGCGTTCGCGGTTAGAGGAGTTTGCGTGTGTCATTGCTTCTTCCCAGGCGAAGGCGAAGGTGGTCACGAGCGAAAGTTCGTACCGGGCAGAGGCTGCGCCTCTCGGAAGCCTTGCGAGCAGAGGCTGTTCGGTGCCGGGATTCGTCGGAAGGCTTCTGCAGAGGATTGGAAAGGAAAGTTAAGAAAAAATTTATGTTTATTAAAAACATTTAATTAAGGAAAACTTAATTAAAGAAATTTAATTAAATAAAATTCCTTAATTAAGGAAAAATATTTTCTTTTCAAAAAAAAAAATTCTAAAGATTTTTGCAGAGGAATTGTTTGCAAAAAGTTTTGTTGCAAGTTTAATTTTCAGATGGCATTTTCTGGTGCGAAATTCGAGGTGGTGAAGTTTGACGGAATTGGTAACTTCGGATTGTGGCAAACCAGGGTGAAAGATCTGTTGGCTTAACAGGGAATCTTGAAAGCTCTGCGGGCAACAAAACCAGATGCCATGGAGGATGAAGATTGGGAAGAATTGCAACAGCGAGCGGCAGCAACGATACGACTATGCCTAGCAGATGAGGTTATGTATCACGTGATGAACCTGAAATCTCCATGAGAAGTTTGGAAGAAATTGGAAACTCAGTTTATGGTAAAATCTCTGACGAA